TTTCATTTTTCATCAAACACACATTAAAATAATATACGACCTTGCTAATATCACAGCATTGTTGAAAAGCGATTTATATTGGAAACATCATTGATGCATTACTGATTTGGATTTAATACAGTTTTCCGCTACTGTTCGTTATTATTGAAACATTTAACAACACTGAGGGTGATAAATTCAACGTAAGCATTTTTTTTTTAAGCATTATAAAATATATTTCAAAGCTCACAGAGAATAATTACCCGATCGGCTGCTGCCACACCCTGGGTGGTGATGTTAGATGACAGCTGCTCTCATTATGTTTGAATGATGACAGAAGTGTGCGGACATGATACAGAGACAGACTGACTGCACATTGTGTTCAAATGGGAAATTACCAAGCTATAAAAAGCCAACAACATATCATTATTTACAACAGCTTTCAAATACAAACAAACCGTAGTTCACGTCAGGCTTAAATTGCATTTGGGTTCGGCACTTAAAAAGCTTATTTACACTTTACAATGTCAGGACATTTAAAGAAACAGAATCTGCCATGAAAGCATGCTACCCTGCACAGGTTTGCTAAACTATACAACATTTTCAGCATGCTTGTGCTTATTTCACACCCTGCTAAAGGCCTTAGCTGTGCCCTCAGCTCTCAAAATCACAGATCTCACCCAACACTAGAATTCTGGGTCATCAGGTCCCCGTCATAACAAGCTTAGAGAGCATTTTTGTGTTCAGGGCTTGCAGTGCAACAAAAGCAGACAGCTACACAGAATATTCTTGGTCTATATAACAGGGGTCAAAGCTGTGGAAAAGAGGGCTCTGTTCGCCACCCAACCCCTGCTTTCCACACTCAAACACAGACACAGACAAGCGTCTAACCCTGCTTAAGCACAAACCCTCATCACCATAATAAAACAGGGATCTCGGGGGAGAGGGAGGGTGGATCACAAAGGAATCACTTCCCAAAACCCAACTGCAACAGTGCCTAAAGCTACACAACTGAAATACACAGTTGTCCTAGGAGATTTAAGAAATTTCTAGACACAAACAAGCACACCCTAAGGACAAAAATAAAATAATCAAAAGTCAGTACTTCAACAGACTCAAATCCATTATATCTACTGCATTTATTACATTAATTCTTCCCTTTCAGTTGTTTACCCACCTAAAATGTAATTTATTACTACCTATCGATTCTACATCTACACGATTACATAAACTGGGTCTAGTCATTTATCTCTCTCTCTCTCTCTATATATATATATATATATATATATATATATAAATATATACATAAAACACATTTTGATAATAAACAAAAGATAGATGAAATAATACAATGAAACAATCCATTCTATGTGTATTAGTGTTATTGACATACTATTAGATTGAATTAATATTTTGAATGAGTTTATATTTATAGCTTTTATTAATATTTTGAATGTTTTTTATGTTTTCGGTTTTAGTTTAAATTTTAGTTCAAATGTTAGTGCATGTTGCTGTGTTTATTTTTTTTTAATATTTTTTTAATAAAAAAAAAAAATTGAATCATCCTAAATAATGATCATCAGATTCCATACCAGCTAGAATGCTGATGTCATCAAAGCAAAAAACATTTCTTTCCAAGTACCACAAAATTAACATTTAAATTTAATTTTACTATATACAGTGGTGTTCCACATAGCGAATAGTATGTATATATAAGACAGGTAAATAATTGGTTTGACCAACATACACTTTTGTTTGGAAAAATTATTCAATTTTTGTTTTTTTTACATTTCAATCATATCTAAGCCACACGTAACAGAAGTGCTTAAATAAGCTAGCAATAAGCTAAATTATTCTTATTACAATATTCACAATGCATATGTTTACCATTTTAGTCTATTTAGTAATTGTTTCATTGGGGTAAAAGAATTTATAAATACATATTTTTGCAAATAATTATTGAAAAAAATATATTACCGCGATTTGAACAACTCGCTATAAATAAATACTGTCCAGCATAAAACACAGTTTTAAGTAACAGTCTCATGTGCGCACAGCATGCAGCGTAGTTTTGTTTTGAGAGAAAACAGGGCGGAAAAGCTGGGAGGTTTTAAAAGAGTGCTAAGGGAATCATATAAATGAATATATGAATGAATTAATTGTATGAATGTACCTCTGAAGGTTCTGACTGTCTTCAGAAACGATTCGATGGCATTTTGTTTTCATCTTCGCTCCATGTAATACCTAAAGGACGTGTTCTTAATCACAATACTGCTTTGTCCACGGAGGTTACGGGAAACAGCTCTAATTCAGCTTTTCCATAAGCGCCACCTGCTGTCAGCGAGTGGATTTACAGAGACTTATATTTACATTCAGTCTGTGTGCAGTTTCTGTCTGGCCAAAAACGGACCGAATTGTGACCGGTTGATGAAAAACAAGCTTATGTGGCAATGATCTATGCTAAGCTACAGCTAAAAGTGCTACCGCCAGACCCGGAGATCGGCTGAATGGATTCGAAAACGGTAAAACTTAACTGTTTAACTCTAGGGGAGTTGGAAAATGAGCCTATTTTCAAAAATAGTGGAGTGTTCCTTTAAAATCCGAACATCATTGGTAATGTTATTGTTTTAGTGATTATGCAAACAAAAAGTCATTTTGTTTGTTGATTTTTAAATATAACACTTGGTAAAGTGATTTATGTGTCATTACTTTTTTAACACCTCCAGCACATTTTAACAATACTGTGATAATACTGATAACCGT